CATCTTTTAAGTGATTTCACAAATTGTTGAGTAAATCAATCATCAGATTTGTAATAGCATAGACATGTCTATATCATTACAAATAAATTACTGTTCATAAAATAATTTTTAGTAGCTATTTTATTAATCTAATGTTAATAAAAACACTGCTATTACACTTAGTATTTTATTTTTTCTATTTGAGTTATTGTTATTCCTTCTTTTTAGCTTCAGTATAGTTTATTGTGGTACTATTAACTTATAAACCATTAAATATTCCTAAGGAATTTCTATTAAAGTTAGCAATTAGCTTATATTTATCATAAAGATTTTCTTTGCTATGTGATAGAGATTTCTGGACAAGGAAGAATTTCTGGAATATATTAAATTTCACCATATAAAACATTATATCATATTAAATTATATTGAAGTTACAAAGAGGACTCTAAAATTAAGATTTATTATGCTTGTAAAAGATTTGTTAAATATATTTGTTTCAAAATTGATCAGAAATAAGTACAATAAAAAGCTCAGAAGAAATCCTTCTTTCAGTATAGGATGAAGCTAAAATATTAAATATTAAACTTGATGGTATTATTTATCAAGTTAAAATCAGTTTCTTCTACTTGAATTGGAAAGTCTTCTTTATGAGTCAATCAATTCATTTGCATACAAATTAAATTATATCTTTTTTAGCAGTTATTTCACCCTTGCATTTAACAAAATTTTATTTATTTAATTAATTAATTTTTTTAAACTGTGTTAATTTCCAATATGTTTCATTTGTTTGTACTATTTCAAATTTTTACTTTAATGAATAGCCCTTTAATCAGTAAGACTTCTTCATTTCTTCATTTAATGAAGAAATCTTACTTTAATAAAAATACTTGTCAAACTTTCAGTGAGTGTTTTATGTATCATCAATTTTAATGTTACTTCTCATTCTAGTTATTGAATTAATTAACTTTTTCACTGATTCTTAGATGTGATATGTTGTTTAAACCAATAATATGATATGTTGAAACAGGCATGAATTTAAAGTTAACTAAGAATTTCAAAAATGGCATTATAATGTAATAAATTTTAATTTAGAAGATTAAGTTAAAATGGAAAAGTTATTGGGTTGCCCCAAAAAGTTCATAGTGATTTTTGATAGATAACATTTGAACATGCAGGAGAATGTCAAAACTATTAAAATTGTAAGCTATCTATGCACATAATGAAATGTAACATCAAGATGCATTCCTTATGATAAAGTTCATTAGGCTTTTTTTAATTAGATTCATCTGCATCTTTGTTAAAATGGAAGTATTTTTGAACATTTGATGCTTTTATTTTTTCCAGAAAAGCAGAAACTTGGTATAACTACAAATGAAATATGTGCTGTTTATGGTGATAGTGCTGTTGCTAAATCAACAGTTTGCAAGTGGTTTGCTACATTCAAAGCGATCTATTTTAACCTGGAAGATGCTCCATACATGGGAAGATCTGATGCTATTGACAATGACCAAATTAAGACTTGACTTGAAAATAATCCTCTTTATACAACATGGGAAATAGCAGAAATTGTAAACTCATCAAAAAGTATTGTATTTGACCATTTAAAGAAACTTGGTTATGTGAATTGTAATGAAATTTGGACACCGTGTGTTTGACTGAAAATAACTTACTGGATCGAATCTCTGTTTGTGATTCACTTTTTAAATACAACAAAAAAAGATCTATTTCTGAAATGAATGATAATAGGTGATGAAAAGTGTATCTATAACAGTGTTGATCAAAAACAGTTATGGGACAAGTGAACTAAACCACTGTTAACCTTTCCTTCATCCTGTGTCATACTGTGTGTCTGGTGGGAGTGAGGACTGGAAGTAAATTGTTTACTGGGAACTTCTCTCACAAAACAAATCAGTTAATTATAATAAGTACTGTTCTCAACTGGACTGACTGAAGCTGAAAAATGTCCTGAACTGGCAAACAGGAACATTGTTGTGTTTCAGCATGACAATGCCACTCTGCACATCTCTTTGAAAACACAACAAAAATTATTGGAATATGGCTGCAACATCACATTATCTATTCTAGTCCCTACAGAATTTGGGTAAGAACTTAGAAAATCTGGACACTTGCAAAATTACATGGAGCAGTTTTCATGCAAAAAAACAGGACAGTTCTTTCAAGATGGAATTATGAATTTTCTAAATAGATGACAATAGGTCATTAAAAACAATGGCATATACGAGTGGTGGCCAAAAGTTTAGTACCACTATGCAATTTTTCTTATAAATGCCTTTAACTGAAAAATTAATGTGACTAATGTGATGATATGTTGTTAAATTTATAGAAATACTTTTATAAATTATGTATATGTCAAATATCAATAAATAAATATTTATTTTTTAATGAAAATACCTCTGTTCAAACTATATACTTTTTTTACTGTGGACAAAAGTATAGGACCAGAACAAATTTAAGTCAGTATTTTGTAAGGTAACAAAATTTTTTATGACAACTTTGCATCTTTTTGACATAAAATTAACTAAACATTCACAGAGTTATTGAATGGAGGATCAAACTTTTTGGACAGCCTAAACAGCCTAATTTTTATTTTTAAATTTTTGTTTATGAATTGCAGTTTTTGTAACACCTCATAACATTTTGGTAGGGTTTACATCTGGCAACTGTACAGGCCATTCAAGTAATTTAATATAATTATTTTGAAACCATCTTTTAACCAATTTATTGATGTGTTTGCAATCATTATCATGTTAAATTTCCATGTTAAAGGTAATTTATCATCAGCTTAAGGAAGCATCACATTTTCTAGTATGGATTTATACTGATGTTGATCCATATTTCCATTTATTTGATGGATAGCATCAAGCCGTGAGAAGCTTCCCCACACCATGATGGCCCAGGCAAGTAGGATGGATGATATTCTTCTCATTTGCTGCATTGAATATACTTTCTCCCATCACTACCAAATAGATTCATTTAATTAATCTATGTCTAAATATTATAAAGTCTCTGTAAATCCGCACGAAAAATATATAAATTTTCGGTTTAGCGGTAGACCATCACACAGCAGATAGCTAATTACTTCTCTTTATTTAATCACTGTATATGCATTTCGGTCCTATTAAAGAACCCTCTTCTAACTATATATAAACAGCAGTCATAAGAAATTTAATTAAAATCTATGTCTAATAGTGTGCAGACTAATGGTGGGCACATCACATTCAGCTATTTTTATTTGCAGGTCTCTCAATGTGAGATATTGATTTCTTTTTGACATTCAATGCAGCAGGTGGTCAGTATGCTCATCAGTTTTTCCTGGCTATCCAGATTTTGGACAACTTGTAAACCCCACTAGTTTCATTAAACAGTTGCACTGCTCACACACATTAAGTTTTCCTGCAATTCACTATTTTCAAAATTTTTTGATAGCTCAATCCATCATCTTTAAACATCTTTATTCATTATTTTGTTTTAGGACTCAAATTCTACTTTATCCTTATATTTTCTAAAGATTACAACTGTATTTTAGACTGTTATATACATGTTAATGTATATTTTTTCACACTTACTTTAAAAAAAGAAACTTAATACCTATATTTTATATTCAGTCCTAAACTTTTGACCAGTATGCCTGAAAATTAATGATAAATTACTAATGATGCACTGAATATACTGCAGGAAAATACATAATCTGTATATGCAGATGTATTCAAATAATGTAATTTTTATTTTCACTTGTTATATTTTATTTAGCAGATTTAATTTTTACTTTTAAATTAATTATTTAATATTTTATTGCCTAAACTTTTGGCCACCACTTATACATCACTGACTAGAGGTAAAAGGTAATATTTTAAAATTTATACTCATTTTCTTTAAAAAGTCACTAAAAGCTTTCCAGACAACCCAATATTTATATAGTTCACAAAATATGTGATAGTTCAGGTTTTAGTTCCTTCAACTATTATTGTTATAGCTGCTACAATATAGTGTTCTATAAATAACTAAAATTATGTAAAATTCTTTGTTACTGTCAAAATCTTTTCAAGTTGAAAAAAATTTTAGTAATTAAAATTCTTGAAAAATGAAAACTGGAAAGAAAATAAAAGTTAATACAAACATTAAGGATATCTTGGCATCACAATATATTCTTGTTTGGCTATGATGTTTCTTTACTGAAAAATAATGCAAAACTTATGATTACTTTGAATAGCTTTTGATCCGACATATCTTGAAATTAAAAAAATTCTGATTTATATTCTAGTATCAAAAATCCTTAATAAAAATGTTTGTTTTGCAAAAAAGTTGTGACGTGAAGTACTTTCTTTATTCATAAAGCGTTGTAATTATAGACACTTGGTCTATCTGTCTTGCAAACTATTATTGTTATATATTTTAATAAGTAAATAAAGGACATTGAGGCAATTTAATTAAAGGTGTTAGTGAATTTGCTATTTCATGCTGAAGATGATTTTGGATATGGATATGTAATTGAATTATGATATTTGTGAAATTTAACACATTACTGCTAATGAGATGTTGTATTCTTTTCTTAGAAGCTTATTTTAAAACTTTACTTCACATTTTGTTTGAGTAAAATCAAATCAAAATGTCTGCAAATAAAATACATAATCATGTATGCTTTTTAAGTTTCATAAACACTATACAAACAGTAAAAAATGCTCATAGTATATGGGGAAGATGCTCCTAAATGTTGAACATGTGAAATGTGATTTTGAAAGTTTCATTCCAAAAATTTTGAACTAAAGAATACAAAATGCACGAGATGACTAAAAACTGTTGACAAAGAGAAATTTCAGGAAGCAAGTCTTAAAAAGTTACGAATAACAACCTGTAAACTTGCAACNATTATTGTTATATATTTTAATAAGTAAATAATAAAGTAAAAGTAATTTTTGATAAGATATTGAAAATGTATAAAATTGTTTATTTACATTATTAATCATTTAACAGTAATAAGTAACAAAAAATTTTTATTCCAGGTCCTGAAGGTTGTAATTTATTTATTTACCATTTACCACAAGAATTTGGTGATGCCGAGCTCATGCAGATGTTCATGCCATTTGGGAATGTCATTAGTGCAAAAGTTTTCATTGACAGGGCTACTAATCAAAGCAAATGCTTTGGTAAGCAATTACAAATATTTTTACAATTTATGTTATACATTACATTTTATAAACATATATGTATATGTGTGTAATTAAGGAAAGACTTATTTTTTTCATTCTTAATGATTAATTTTATCAAATCTGTCTAAGATTCAAAATTTTATAAAAATGTTGGCATTACATATCTGCAATAATAATATATAAATATAATAGGTATCTTTATTCCAGAGAATTCCTCAAAGTGTACTTAAATATGTTTTTCAGTTAAGTATTCTATTATGCATGTCTAATAGGATTTTATGGATATAGATACTTCCCTTACTATAATAAACATTTTATGCAAGTGAATGTAGCATATACACTTTACTCACTTCATAACAAGTCTTATGGAAAAGGAATAGTTTTTTGGAAATTCCTGAAAACATCAAAATTTTAACTTGGATGTCTTTTTCTATAGAACTCCTTGGTCATGTTCAGTAATACAGAATGCTTAGTAAGAAATCTAATTGGCTATGAGGGAGGAGCTAATAAATGTTCTGAGTATCTTTGAATGTGTGCTGAGTTAGCAAGTTAGACTGATTGCATGTAAAAATGGTGAATGAGGTTATTACTGTTATAAAAAGAACTTATTTAATCCAGCGTGAACAGCTTTCTTGAAAACCATACAATGAGATAAAAACAATGACATGATTAGTAGAAGTTAACATAGACAAAACAAGCTGATTGAACTAGTTAGAATTCTAGTGGTGGGAGAAGCATAGTAGTTAGAAACAAATTTAGCATGGCAACATAACTAAACTTTAACAGCAAAAAATATATTTCTTGAGACTACACATACAATATGAGTCAATTTCTTTCAGTCCCTTCACATGCTGTTGAGGTAATAACAATTCCATGGCAGAGTTGACCTTTTATTGTAGGCTTCTTGTCTGTCATACAATGCAAAAAAGTTAAAATAATCCTCTAGCAGTGGCACAAAGATAAAATTATTAAGTACATTTTAAAATGTACTTACTAATTTTTATCTTTGTGCCATCACTAGAGGATACTGATGCTAGCATATTTAATTACAGGTAATATTCAAATAGTAATGTAGAGTTATGGTACATATTTTGTTATGTACAGTAATTTCAGATAAATATATATAAGCATAATTCATGGTCACATATAATAACTGGTCCACACAAAATTATCTGTAATTTTACCAGTCTGTGATGAGCAAAAAGTTGAGAAACACTGTTATAGATGAATCTTTTTTCAGATGTTTCTAAACTGTTTATTAATGAAAAATTAATTATAATTAATAAATTAATTACAATGACACCATCTATCTTACAAATCTTTAAAGCTGTAATGTATAAATATGTTGGATTACATTTTTTTTCTAGGATTTGTAAGTTTTGATAACCCTGCCAGTGCCCAAGCTGCAATTCAGGCAATGAATGGATTTCAAATAGGAATGAAACGTCTGAAAGTACAATTAAAACGCCCTAAGGATGCCAATAGACCTTATTAAGTTTTGTATCTTTACCTACTTTTGAGGTAAAATGAATATTAATTTATTATGTAAGTAGAAAATACTGTATCTACCCAAATATTTTTAAGAAAAATAAAAATATTAATAATGATGAAAAATAAAAATATAGTGAAGCTGAAATACTGTAAGGTCTCTTTTTATGCGGATTATTTTTATGCGATTTTGAAGTTGTGCGGTTTGTATTTCGTCCAAAAATTTTTTGGACAAACATACATATAGGCTTGTTTAGGAAGCCCTCGTACGGACAGTCTCCAAAATCGTGGAACGCTCAAAGCTCACTCCATTTGTTCCGCTGATATATAACGTTTATGGATGTAAAGGACAGCTAGATCTATCTTAATCGCTTTAGTTCCTAGCAATTTTTGATATAAATGTAATTAAACATAAAAAAAATACTTAAAACTGAAAAAAACGAAAGAAATGCGTTAATTTTGAAGAAAAAGCTTCAAAGTTTAACTTCCTTTGTCTCGCCCTTCTGTGAAATTTAACACCGATGAGT